TGACCATATCAACTTAAGTGCAAGAAATCTTGAGGACAAATATGATCAGCTTACAGCGAGAATGGATGACAGACAGAGCGTGGTAGAGAGTATTGACAGACAATATGTTGATCCCTCCGAGAGTATGGACAAACAATATGTTGATCTCTCTGAGAGTAAAGATAGTCAATATGTTGATCTCTCGGAGAGTAAGGTTGGACAATATATTGAGCTCTTAGATTAAGAACTATCAAGATACTGTTGAACAAGAAGGCAAATATCAAGAAAATGAAGATATCAAACACCAGAAATTACAGAATTATTCACAGATAAAATGGAATCAGATTTTTGATCAAAGAAGTCAAAAGATTTTTTAAAACCTGAAAGATTTTTCAAAATAGTCATCAATTAATATTGTGCAATATTTATTTTTATTGCTTGTGTTTATTGATCTTTTTATGCAAGTGCACTTTGATATAAAATTGCAAAATATTTATAAGCTCCTTCTGCAAACAAAATATATATCAAAGCAACCCCGATTTCTTATAAAAATAAATACATTGGATATATAAAATTCTGAATTTCCGCAGGGAATAATTGATCTATATGTACACGTGCATCAATTTAGGAAATAAATTTCCTGATTACCCTCAGTTTTTTTTTTAAGTTTGAATGTGTACTCCCTCTGAATTTCACTGGTTTGTTATCCGAGTTTAAATGTTTTACTCTTCTGAATTTCATTGGTTTATTATCCGAGTTTATATGTTTTGTCCGTCTGAATTCCATTGGTTTCTTATCCGAATTTTAATGTTTCGTCTTTTTCTATCCGAGTTCAAATGTTCCGTCCGTTTGAATTTCATCATACAATGTATGTCGTCAGTCTGAATCCTATTGGTTTGTTATCCGAGTTTCAATTCCGTCCTTCTGCATTCTATTGATATGATATCCGATTTAAAATTTTCAGTCCGTCTGGATTATATTTGTTAGTTGTCCGAAATTACATGTTTCGTTGAATTCCAGTGGTTTGTTATCCAAGATTAAATGTTTCTTTGAATTCCATTGGTTTAATATCCGAGTTAAAAATATTTTATTGAACACCATTGGTTGGTTATTCGAGTTTAAATGTTTCGTTAAATTCCATTTGTTAGTTATCCCAGTTTAAATGTTCCGTCATTCTGAATTCCCTGCAGTTGTCTTTGATACTCTTCCACTTCAACCCCCTCCCAATGATGACAAGTTAGGGGATCTATGTACCTTGAGAAAATGGAAAATGAAATATTTAATAAATAAGCTAAGGAATCATTTTTTTTTTTAGTTTTATTTGGGATGTAAGTACGGGTCGGTCATGTGATTAAATCCCATAAAGTCCATTTGATCACATGCCAACCCGTATTTTCATCCCGATAAAACTCAAAAATAATACTCATTTCTTATATTTACATTTGTGACTGATTTATCATATTATTATTTATAATAATATTATTATGATTACGATCGAAGTTTGATCGGGTGTGGCATACAGAATATTGCAAATTAGAGGGAATAGAGAAGCACAGTAATCACTCCATCTTTTAAGATGAAATATTTTAATTGGTTATAAAACTGAAAAGGTAATGTTGAGAATTTATCTAGGATTCAATCCTTAGCTTTTAATCGTCTAGTATTCGTGGTCATGGTTTGATTATGTTACCGCTTATTGCGTTGTTTGTGTTGCTTTGTAATCCTTCCGAAATGTTATTCATGCATTCGACGCATCCGTTCTTTATAAATTCATCCACAACAACTATCGCGTTTTTCTTGTGATTAAATAAACATATTATCTTTGTTTCGTAGCGTTATTAATTATATTTACAATTGATGCAATTCTAATTTCAAGATTTCATTCATTGTGAACTGTTTCAAAGAAACATGTATTGTTATTGTTATTTTCTTTTTTGGATGCATCAACTGACACATTCGCTCGCATAAATCCGTACGATAGCTAGATGACATTCGAGCTATCGCTCGATCCCATAAAAATTAGACTCAAATCCAATAAATTCAAGTCTATTTGAAATTCTGTTCGGCTAACTACAGGTATGTTTTGCAAAAAATCCTTGCTTTAAAAATTGGGGAGGGGGAACGCCTTAATGCCCAAGAAGGGAAGTTTTTAAGATAATTCAAAGAAGTGAGAAAGAAGGGGAACTTTTAAACAAACACATTTTTAAAACTAATATCAGCATTTATTAATGAAAACATCATTAATCAATAATATTTTAATCTGAACATTTTCATATACATATCGTTAAATCAATTGAACTTATCTAAGATACATATCGTTAAATCAATTGAACTTATCTAAGATAGTGAATAACCAAATTTAAAATTCTAAATAATATAAAATTAATGCTTAATAAATACCTTTTGATGGTGTCATTTAATATATCGTGTTCCTGTTTAGATAGAGGTGAATTGACTGCTGCCATATTCTTTCTTAGGTTTTCCAAACTAAAAATGAAAATATCTTCTCGATCACAGCAGCGCTTACCCATTCTATGTTTATAACAAATGTTAGTTTCATTACAAAGAACGAGGGCGCTTTTGATTGGCATTCGGCAGGAATCTGGGCGTAATTGAAAAGTGAAAATTTTATCGACATGTCACATGAAATTTTAACATCTTTTTTATTTATCGGGTTCCTGTCCAACAGGAAACGAAAATATTTTTCCGAAATTTAGCTTTGATTTGCTAAAAAAATAACTTGAAGATTGGTCAGATCATACATTTGGTACAAAATGGTACATTTTTAGACACGTTTTTCTAACATTTATCTATCTCTGGGTCTTCTTGCCATGATTTTGAAACGTTATTTGTGTGTATTTTAATTCAAAGAAATGAATACACTTTTTTAAAAAAATGGAGTGAAGACCCAGAGACCACGAAAAACGAACTTTTCCCCAAAAAATCAAAATGTGTGAATGTGGTGCTTCTTTGTCCTTTTTAAATCATTTGTGTATGTGTAGCGGTGATAGCTCAGTAATTTGAGCTACCTGTTCAGTGCACTAGAATTGTAAGGTTTTTGGTTCGAGTCAGGCTTAGGGCGTTATTTTTTTTTTCATGCAAACAACCATTTATTTTGTCATTTTCGTTTTATGTACTGATATATAAAAAATTTTGAATTAGATTAATTTTGGTTCAGTTTGATTCTCGAGCGAAATCAATTCTAATCTTCTATTCTATATAATGTACATGTACACGTATCATGCATCTATATGCATTAAATATTTTAGGTGTTTATTTTTTGTGAAACATTACTATGTTATGGTACTCCCTAGGAAAAACGGACAAAAATGTTGCAATCTCACACTTTCAAACTAATTGAAAAAAAAACCTATGGACGTGTTTGTGAACTCTAACAAGCTATGTTCAGCCAACCAAATCATGGACATTTAAACCATAAATGTTTCGTACAAATGATTCCTGCAGATTACACGCCAAATGCGCCCATCTTCTTTATTATTATATTTATCTCATTATAATTATTCGGTGTAATCAACAAACGAATATCTGTGTGTTTTTAACAATTCTACAAATTCAAGTCGAAAAAGTATCAAAACATGAAACCATTTTGACAGGTATGTATTAATTTTAACAAAGTTGGAAAACATTAAACCTTGCAGTACTAAACAGTGTCGTGTCGACACCGGGAAATCCCAGAGTATATGCCATTGCCAATCTGGAGATGTCACAACCATTCTCCTGTTTTAGAAATATAGTACATGTCAACTTGTCAAGTATCACTGATTACAAAACTGTTCTTCTTCAAATGACACTTAAAAGGTATTAATCAAATAAAAATAATATAATTTAATTACAAATAATCAAAATTACAGGTGATAAAGTTATTTTAACAGTACTCAGTATGTAACTCTCGTCATGTGTTATTTTGTCTTTTGTCTAATTTCATAGAATTATTTTAATGATAATCTGTATGACACATACTCTACAAAAAGTCGCTGCTTTAGCGCATGCGTCTTTAATGTCCTTTTGGGCCGGGTGCCATTCCGGGGGGCCTCGATTAGACAGGAGACCCATAGCTATAGGGGAGGCATTAATTACGCCTATCCCTCTCTCCTAAAGTGTTAAAAAGTAGAGCTAGATAATGAACAGTAATCGAAATCAAGAAATCTAAGAACAATACAATTAGACATTTCCAGAGTTCGCGGTCTCGAGCTCGCACTCGTACATGGATAGAAGGATCTTTGGGGTTCGTGACAAGACATGATTTTTATATTGAATAGATTATTATATTCAAAAGTTAATACCTGTATTTCTGAATATATAGTTTCTTATATAATGTCTTCGTGATTTAAAGGAAAAAAATTGTACGAAACGTGCTGATGGATAATCAAGATTCGAGTCTAGTAAGTATATATTTTATAGACCATCGTATGTACACCAGCCAGTTCGAAGGGTGTGCATGAGTCATGAAAATATCATAGTTTACGATAAATTACTAGAAATGTATGACGTTTACATCAAGAATACTGTATTGTTTTTACATCTGATTTATATCGAATCTAGGTCATTTGTTTGACCTCAATTTTCTGTTCTCTGTTCCGTTCCGTTTTTCGTTCGGTTTTCCGGTCCGCGTTTTAGCAACACCCCTAAAATTTAACAAACGGTACGTCTCAGACTTTTTAACCTTTCACACGACCCCTTTTTGTTATCAGCAGGCAGAGTACGAGCCCGAGTTCGAACTCGCTCTACTAAAAATGTCTAATATGATAAGAGAACCTCCGGAAATTCGAGAGGTTGGATCTGGAACCAAGCAGGAGAAAGCATCCTTCATAACAAATAAAGCTCCAATGATTAAATTAGCGGAATTACATCTGTCAGCAAATAAAAATTGTCATTTTACATACAAAAATTGCATATGATTACTTGAAAAAATGGAATATAGTCTTGAAGACTGTTGTCATGGATACAAGCTCTACAGTAAGTCAGTATTGTATCAATCTTCACTGTACTTTTTTCTAGTACTGTTCTGCAAAAACAAAAGAAGTTATATGAATTGCCTGCAACTGGTGCAAACGAAATTAAAGAATTTTACAATTAAATTCTCAATGAGAAACACGGAGCGTATTAGCATATCTGTTGTATAATTTAGACATATTAAATTTTGTCTGTCTATTTGCTACATCTTTGAGTCCTTTTATTATATAAGGTTTACAGCGGTGTGATCGGTCGACGGTGGATGCTGGATCCTACTATGCACCTGATCATACTTCTGTGGTATTGATGTCAGTGGGTTATGCTCTGTTGAGTACTTTGTACTGGATTTAAGAATTTTGAGACTGATTACTTGTCCTTTTTTTCATACTCTTCCCTAATGATTGACGTCAATCATATTAAGAAGTGTTAAACTCGTATCTTAAGGTCAAAGTCAATGTTGATCGCTTTGCTTCATTCCAACCCGAACGGAATCTCCCGTAATCCAAATTAGTTCAATCACAATGTGTTCAATGTATATTGTTGCTTATGAGCAAAACTATGCCTTCATTTTTAATCCAGATCATAACTTCAGTCACTAAAATGTTTAGAAATTTCCGAATAATACAGAAGGAGTATTTTTGAATTCTAGCATTCAACATGAGTGTATTGATTTTCAAGGATTTTCATCCCAATGCCTTAAACATTATCAGAGTCCTAGATACTCTTGTAAAAAAACATTTGCTATGACTGAGGATTTCATATATACGTACTTGAAATTCTTCAGCGGGTAACCTGTGATACCGATAAATCTCGCTTTCCCGCTCTGTTTCACCTTTTGTAATGCCGGAAGTGTTTCGTTTATAATAATATCAAGGCTCGGAGCAAATTCCATGTCGTGAACCTGCAGATATGTAAATGAATAATTCGTTATAAATTTTCAAAACATCTCTACTCGTAAATTGCATCGGTGATACATTTCTTTTCCGAATACCTCCTATATTGTACATTATTGTAGCAATTTGGGATTGGGGATTACATGTATTACCTGAATGATGTCTACGTAATCCAGTCCCATTCTTTGTAAACTCTCGTCCACACTTTGTAAAGTCCGCTCAGCTGAGAAGTCAAACATCTTGTCTACTTCCGGTTTATATCGGCCTACCTTTGTGGCCATGTAATACGCAGTTCTAGGTATGCCAACCAAAGCCTTAAAGACACAGTTGAAAAAATATCAGTTTGAATCGGTCTTGATTTTTTACCTATTATACTAGCTTGACATTGGTACTAATATAATTATGATTGGTTTAAAAATACATCTAAAATGTAAACTGAAATCAAATTAGCCGGTCTGTGATCAGAAATATGCTAGTAAGAATTTTTCTGTAGTTTGTATGTATTAAATCGCGATATTTTTCAAAGGCTCACAAAATATCAATTTTATCTATATATTTCATGAAGTGCAATGTGCCGGGCATTTTTTTCATAATTTTAAGTTTATCAAAAAATGTGCTGCCGATAGGACTTTAGCAATCATTACGATACCAATAATCAAACACAATTTGTTTGGGTTTCCAAGTTATTAGGGCAATAATTTTCATAAAAGTATTGTGTAGATACATGCATTACCCCTTATTCTTTATCATCTCGAGACATCAATATTACGTATAATATCAGCCAGATGACCGAGGGATCGAGAGCTGACATTGGTCGAAACTTAATACAGGATTTGATTTCGAAAGGTAAAGGTGGTATTATATTAATTACATGCTGATTACAATAAATATGAACTAATCATGAACCTTCATGTATCATTATATGTAAATGGTGCCTGTTTGGAGGATAACAGTTGAAATTGACACCCCAAGGAAAACCATTGTCAACCGACGCGTCAGCGGAGGTTGACAATGGTTTTCCGAGGGGTAAAACTGTCCAAAACATTTACTTTATTATACTGAATGTCTTCTTAAATTAAGTCAGCAAAAAAAAAAATCGTCGATCATCTTTACGTTCACGTTTAGAAAGCTTTCAAACCCCTCGCTACTTCCAAAAAGATTTACTGACCTTTTTTTGTTTGTTTGATACTCTAAGAATCTTTTATCATATAAAGTTTCGTTATTTCTGCACTCGCAAGCATGTTTCGTCTGTCATTTGTTGTTTTCAAGTAAGCTACATCGGACGCAAGCTTTTATTGACGTCAAGTTTATTCCAGTTCTTCCAAACGCGCAACTGAGGAATTCTACGGTGAATTATATTCCACGCATGTGGCAATACCGTTGTGTTACCCGTTGTCACATGCGTTGCTAAGGCTGAGGGTAATATTGTTAACTAAACCAATCAGATTTTAGTATTTAACATGAAAGTATAATAATAAATTTTGTTACCCTTCCCAGTACTTCCTCTGCCATGCCATGTCCATACCACGGGGCCACATCAATGTAATTTATCCCCTTCTGTAGGGCCTCACGGACCACATCCAAAGACTCTTTTTCATTAGTTGTTCGGAAAACATTGCCCAGAGAGGATGCTCCTAAAATATACATAGTATTACATAAATTCTATTAGTATATCCTATTACGACGATAAGATATCGAAATATTTGGGGGGAATGGGTTCTCTAATTTACTGTAAATCTTTTTGACATTTTTTTATGCTGGCGTCATTAATAAGGCCTTTATAATGCATTATAAAGAAATGAGATGTACGGACCAAAACTTATTTTAGAGACGTGCAGTCCGGTTTTTCCGAGTGGGTTTGTCGGCATTTGTAGAACAGCATTTTTGTCGTGGAAATCTGGTGTGAAAGTTTCTGGAAGTCTGTAAAAGAAGAAATTTTGTAAAGACACAATATGCACGTGATATAATTTTTTTTTTATGCGCGCTAATATTTGTTTATTCATTTATCTGATTTTTGTTAAATTTAACATTACTTGATGGTTTCAGATTGTTCCATAAACCACGTTTATAATTGGTATAGGCTTTGGATATGCGCCACTTGTATTGCACAAAAATAAATTGTGGTCAATGGTTTTAAGAAATCGTGTATTTTTTTACTGTGAATGTCGTAACAAGAGGCTCTCTCTTAATTCGAACTTCCTTTAAAGCAAAGCAATGAATAGAATAAATACAATAATATCCTAAAGAAGTGATAAATTATTCATTCTTCCCACCACCGAGAAACAAAACTGAATGAGTTCCGAGGCATATATCTAATCTATATACTAATTATCTA